AAATATAAGTATATAAACGTGTAAAATATTTTTTTATTATTCTTTTTATTTTTTCATTTTACCATAGAGTATACAGATATAAAATATGTATATAATGGTACTATACATGAAATGAAAAATAATAGTAATACATAATAAATAGGATTACATAAAACATACTAATAATACTTATATAAAACGTAAAAAAAAGAAAAAAAAACATGCATAATGTGTAAATTATAATGATAATAGTACATAATCGTAACAGGTATGTAGATTGTATGAGAATATTTAAAAAATGTAAAAAGACATACATAAAGTACAAAATAATACATACATAAAGCATAATAATATAATAGTAATACATATACACTGTATGAAAATATAAAAAAATGTAAAAACATAATAGTAATATAAATGTTGATATGTACATGTATATATATTACAAAGGTATCCACCAATGCCCCCACGGTAACATCTCCGTCGAGTCCGACGTATCGTTTGTCGTCGTATGGACTCAGAGTGATTTTCGATTCGGATATCGTATATACCTCGTGCAGTTTAGATCGTATACACGATTGACGACAAGTTATTTCGATTTCTTCGTTTAAACATCGCATGTAATCGTCGAACGTTATCGTTCGGGCTACGACGTTACTCTTTGCGCCTTTCACCTTTTTAGTGTCCTTCTTGCCATTCACCCTCACCGCGTAGATCTTCGCTCTGAGACCAACGAATTCGGTCATTATCGCACCGTTATTTTCATCCTTCATCAGACCGGGTACTTTTTTGTTCGCGAGAGGCGTACCGTACACGTTGTCCGTCGGATAATCGCTCGTGTCGAATTTAGTGATATCACGTTTCATAGTCTCGTAAACGTCCTCGCACTCGACGCGGTATATAAGACTGTCTGTGTCGGTGTACATAATTTTACATCTGTCATGAAACAGTGGTAACATATACTCGTGGTGAAATTTATACAAGCAGACTTTCGATATGTCGAGTATACACATACCCACGTAAATCGGCTTATTGAATTTCACCTCGAGTTTGCGCAGTTCTACGCCGATTAAATTTTCCACAAAGATGCTATGGCTGTGGAAATTCGGTTTTGCAATCATTGCCTCCGCGCCGTATCGTCCGTCCTATTTTATTAATAATTTTACGTCGACGTGGTTGCGCACATTCTCCATAGTTTTATACGTTTTATACGTTATTCATTAGTTTATATAAATTTTTCTCGAAATCGTTTATCGCGCGCGTTCTAAAATTTATATTAGGTTACATTCAATGTAATCGCAAAGCCATGGAGATTGCGCGAATTGTAGCACTCGATGGATCTTTGTTACGCGAAGACCGTGACGAGTACATTGCTGCAGATTGCGGTGGATGACGTAACGCTGTTTATCATACAACGTCGCTAGAAGTTTGTTCGCGCTTGCCGAGCGGCTTATCGCGCGTCGGACAGAATTGTAGATCAGTGTGTCGGTCGTATACATGCTGCGGATACTAGAGATCGACCTCGAGAATGTAACCGGTGGGCGAATCCAGAGCGATCGCGCTCGCGTCAAAGTTCGCAGCGTCTTCGACCCATTGAAATTTGGCGTATGGCAATAGTTGACACATCGCCCACCCGTATAAATTGTTAACGTCGTAATACATCAAGTATGACGACGGTTCCGACGGATCGTGCGAATGTATGTACTTGTTATTAGCCTGCGCATATCTGCCTGAACATTGACTGAGACCACCGCGTATACCGCGCTCGATGAACATGATCATGTCAATATCAGTGAGCAACTCAAACTTTACACGCGTATGTTTCAACATCGCGTCCCACGTGAAACCAGGCAAGGTGTAATAATGTGCGGGATCGAGACCGTAACTCGCGACGCAACTTTCGCGGAAATTTTCGAAAATGTCGGCTAATAACAAGACATCGGTTTTCAAGTAGAGATCACTGTACTCGCCGAGCGTTCGGATGGAGAATCGCTACCATACGTTCGCCGCGTGAGCGTAATCGCTCTCGGATACGGTATCGCCCGTTAACGAACTGTAAAAAGATTCGCGAGGGGGTAAGCGCGTGTCCTGCAATTTTTCGGCACAGTCAACGTACGGAAAGACACCTTTACGAGTCAGTAATTCAAATTCATCATCCGATAGTGTTGAAAATTTTAAACGTATAATTTTTAATTTGTCTTTATCGAGATACGACGCTAATTTATCGAGACTTGTACTGAGAAATTTGAAAGAATCAATAAATCGTAATTTT